GGGGGGGGGGAGAAAGAGAGAGAGGCTGGTCTGGTCTCAGGAAGTGAAAGGGGGCGAAGGAAGAGCACAGTTCCTTTTGCAAGTTTGCCTTCTGCCTTCTGAAACGTCTTTGCCAGCAAGAGGAGCCACTGTGAGCGGGCGGAGCGGGCGCCTCTGGAAACAGGCCTCTGCTGCTGTGGGTGGGAGGGTCTGGGAGACCTTGGGGACCGGGGGACACTTTAGAAACGTGAGGTCGTTTGAGCTGCTGCCCTGAGTCCCTCTGAGTTTGATGAACTTAAGGTCCTGGGCAGGAGATGGCCTACTAGACAGGTGTTACCCTACTATGTGATTTCCTTGCGCTCTCTTTTTTAAAATCCTCACCTGAGGATATATTTTTTCCATTGCTTTTCAGAGAGAGAGAGAAAGAGTGAGCACCAGCGGTGGTTTCAGGGGGGGACCGATCTGAGATGATGCCAGAGAACTGGATGGCTTTTAGTGGGGGATGACGTTGGGGGAGCCCCAGTTTACCTGCCGTGATGTTGGATGTCTGTGTACTGTCTGGCCCCCTGGGAGGTGAGCCCCGTGGGCGGAGGGGGCGCAGAATAGCCTGTGGGCGGCAGGCTGAGTAAACTGGCCTTCCTGCCCTCAGGTCCAGCTGGGAGCTCCCGGCCCTCCTGGAGGGCAAGATCGAGGCCATCAGTGACTCGGACGGGGTGAACTACCCCTGGTATGGCAACACCACGGAGACGTGCACCATCGTGGGCCCCACCAAGAGGGACTCCAAGTTCATCATCAGCATGAATGACAACTTTTACCCCAGTGTCACGTGGGCCGTGCCCGTCAGCGAGAGCAACGTGGCCAGACTGACCAACATCTACCGGGACCAGAGCTTCACCACGTGGCTGGTGGCCACCAACACCTCGACCAACGACATGATCATCCTGCAGACGCTGCACTGGCGCATGCAGCTCAGCATCGAGGTGAACCCCACGCGGCCCCTGGGCCAGCGCGCCCGGCTGCGGGAGCCCATCGCCCAGGACCAGCCCAAGATCCTGAGCAGGAACGAGCCCATCCCGCCCAGCGCCCTGGTCAAGCCCAATGCCAACGACGCTCAGGTTCTCATGTGGCGGCCCAAGTACGGGCCCCCGCTGGTGGTGATCCCGCCCAAGCACCGGTAACGGCCGGGGCGCCCCCCGGCCCAGACTCCGATGACGAGACCGCTCCGACAGCCCCACGTGGACGCCCTTCACCCAGCAAAATACAACCATTCTACCTTGTCCAGCGGGGTCTCACTGTGCGCATGCCCAGGACGGCCTCGCCCGCTCCCCTGGAGCCTGCTTCCTGCGGGGAGGGGGCCCGCCCGGGACAGACTCGCCCCACGTGCGCCCTCCAGGGTCACCTGGGGCCTCCTTTCCTCCCCTTTCCTCAGTTTCATTCTCTTGCAACAGACGCCCAGACACAACTGCTTTTCAGTCCCTTTTTTTTTTACGCCTCTTTATGAGGTTCGGGCGGGAGGAGGAGCTGGGAGGAGACAGGCCCGCTCCTGGGACCCCAGAGGCCCGCGGGCCCTCCCGCGCGGCTCCCCCTCCCCTCCTCACGCGGCCTTACCTAGACTTGCTTTGCCAAACTTTTGCCTTAAGCTGAATTTAAAGGAAAAACGCCGACACAGAGAAAGCAGGATCTCTTTTCTACCGGACTTTGCATCTGCTGGAGGTGAGGGAGGGGCTGGGTCAGGGACGAGAGAGAGACTAGGCTGAGCCCCTTTTCTGGGGTGTCTTGGGACAGGAACACAGGTTTAGACCTAAAACCAGCTGCTCATTCTTGCATTTCAGCAGAAACAAAACCACAGACAGCCGCTGCCTAAAGAGCCCCGGGTGGAGCCTCCCCCCTTCCCCGTACCTGGCCCCGTAGATCTGCCAGCGCGCGCTCCTCTCTCCCCAGCAGCCTCACCTGGCGGGTGGGTCTGGGGCAGGGAGGGTCCTGTGAGCTACAGGTGCAGCCCCGGAATTCCCGCCACCTGTCCTCCTCTCTCGGCTCTTCCTTCCCCTCCACTCTGCTCCCTGGAGGGCCAGCCCCATTGACCCAGCTTTAGTTCTAGTTCCAAGGTAAGAGGAGAGGCCGGCCCTCCTTTCCCTCCAGGCTCCTTCTCAGGGGACACCCCTCCCGGGCTCTGGGGGAGGCCGCAGGCAGGTCTGAGCGCACAGCGTTGGAGGTGGGGGCGGCCACGGAGGGCACCCAGGAGGGCTTTCCTGGACCCCCTGCTGCCTGCCCTCAAGGAAGCAAACCAGAGCCCAGGGTGTGGATTACGGGGGCCCAGGGTTAGGGGGCCCCAGAGCCACTGTGGAGGCTGGTCGGGGACAGCGTGGCCAGTCTCTGAGGGCCACCCTCCCTCGAGTCCTGGGCTCTCTGGAGCCCTGGGACTGGGTCCTGAGCAACGCCAAGCTTCCTTAGCCATGTCTGCCTTGAAGGCTGTTGGCAGGAGCTGGGGGGGACACCCCCCTGAAGCCCCCTTCCTCCAAGCTTGCCAAACCCACAGCTACATCGCCCTGGCCCCGCATTCAAACTAGTAATAAGCACAGAAAACCGTCCAGTGAGAAAAACAATCCATTCTGCTGCACATGAGCCACTTGAAGGAGTCCCAGTGACAGCACCTAATCCTTGCTCTGCTCCTTATCCTCGTGGTATTGTATTTATTTAGGGGTGCTTAACGTCCAGTCCCCCTTGCCCCCCCCAGCCCTGCTCCTGACAGGCCCACAGCTATCTTGGGACAACTGGACTGCAGACAGCTTGGTGCTTGGGGACCCGTCAGGCCCAGGACTTTCCCCATGGAGGCCTCCGGGTCCCCGTATGTGTAGGAGCCCTGCCTGCCACCCTAAAGTCCGGGGAGCCGTGGGCCCCAGCTCCCCCGTGGGGTGGGCCAGGAGGGAATGGGGTGATGGGACAAGCCCTGGCCTCCTGGTGGAGGGCCCTTCTCTGCACTCAGGTCTTTCTTGCACTACAACAGAGAATGGGCCCTGGCGGGGGGTCAGGATACTGGCTCACAGCGGAGGGGTTCTTACTGGGGCAGAGGGTGGAAGCAGGAAAGTACAGGGAGGTCTTGAGCTGTTTGGGGGCAGAGTCCCCCCAGCTCGGACTTTGTGAATGGGAGCAAGCCTCCGGCGGGTCAGTGCTGTGCCCGCTTGGAGGAGAAGGACAGGCTCCGCTGCCTCCACCCGGGCCAGCTGCATGCCTGCCCCCAGCTCACCTTCCCCCCCCAGGCCCCTCTCTGCCCATCTGGCCTTTCTGAAGACTCTGAGAGGCTGCAGGGCCAGCCAAGGACGCTGGACTTAGCCTGGGTCTGGTCCCTCCGCCTCTTCCCTCCTTTCAGGAGCACAGGCCTCAGGCTCCTGGCCAGGGTCCCAATCCCTCTGGTGCCCCCCCTTCCCCCCGTGTGGACACACTTGCCCAGCAATAGGACCATCCTTGGTCGTGGAGAGTACTGTGAAAACTAACCCGTGCACTTATCAGGAGGCACAAGACTCTCGAAGAAAATGTAAAATGAACTTTTAAAAAAACAAAAATATTCACAGAGAGAAATAAAGTGTAATTTTAAAGTAGGTCTGGCCAGAGTCTGGATGTTTCTGGGGTGGAGGTTCATTGTGGGGTTGACGGCTGGGGGAGTGAACGGCTGTGGGATCCTGTGGGTCTTGGTGCTCAGGGCTCAGGGAGACCCCAGGAGGAGGCCGGCCACCCTGTTGGTGCCTCCTCTGGAGGTCCGTGGGGCGCTACTCAAGGTCATTTGTGTGAGTTTGGGCGAGACACGGAGCCCTGCTTTTGTGGGGGACACCTCGTTCTCCGGGTAGCTGCCCCCCCCCCCAGCTGATGTGGTGGGAACACACCGTTCTCGGTGTCCAGGTGTTAATTCACTGAACCCTCAGGATCCCCATTTCACAGATGCGGAGACTGAGGGAGAGCGGAACGGGAGATGCAGCCCAAGGCTGCGCATCTGGGAAGAGGCAGATCCAGGATTTGAACCCGGGCCTTGGAGCCCAAACACTGTGGAGCGTTCGTCCATCTGGTGCTCAGTACCGGTGACTGTTATTCGGCAGGCGCTGAGCCTCTGGCTCCCTCCATCCTGGGCTCCTGGGGCAGGAAATACCTCTCTCCCGCCCCAGCCCCGGAAGCCTGCTGTGTGCCCAGGCAGTTCTGTTGCCCACAGCGAGTTGGGCTCATTCCCTCTGGGGAGGGGTTGCCGGTCAGCTGCAGACCGCAGGCTGGGCTGCGGGGGCAGGCGGGGGCCTCTGGGCACTGCCCATCCCGCCCTGGCCGGGATGGGGCTCTCCTCCGGGTTTCCCATGCGGCAGGAACCCAGCCGCGCTCTGCATCCTGCCTCCCGGCCCGAGACACCGCAGCAGGAAATTGCATAACAGGCCCCGCTGGCCGCCCTCCACCCAGATGGCTCCTGGGTGGTGCAGTGCATGTGGCGGTTTGGCTTCTGGCTGTGGAGTCGGCTCCTGAGCTCTGCCTGCGAGAGACCGTGGGGGTGTGTGTACACGCAAGCATGTGCACGCGTGTGAGCAGAGAACCGGTGCAGGCCTAGCCCAGGGCAGGAGAGAGCTGAGCTGGGTCAGAGCAGGAGAGAGCCAAGTGGCTCGGGCACCCGACCTTCACGCAGCCACGACCTCCACACAGCTGAGCAAGGGTGTGAGGACAGCAGCTGCGTGCGGGGGTGACATTGGGGTGGGAGGGGCCCATGCAGGGCAGGGGTTACGAGTGCAGAGGATTCCAAGGGGCATCCAGTCACAGTGGAAGCCCTGCAGCCTCTCAAGCTGATAGCAGGTTAAATTTAGAAGCCCCAGACTGGGACGAAACAGACACCAGATTCCAGCCAGCTGTCGCAGGAGCCCGGGCCTGGGAGAGCCTGCTATGGGGGGAGGGGAGGGCGGCCCACCTGCCCCAGGACGTCTGGGAGGAGCAGGTGCACCCTGAGCCCAGCCACAGCCTGCGCCCACCTCTAAAGTCAGTGCGTAGAGCCCAACTGCTGCTCTGGGCACACTCACTGTAGGTTAGCTTCTGAGGCCACAGGAAATCCCTTTTGGTCCAAGAAGGTGACAGTTTATTGGGAAGAGCAGAAAGGTGACGCCGGTGGCACTCCCAAGCCCTCGGACCTTGCCGGCAGCCCGGGGGCTCTTTCTGTCACCGTCTCTCATGCCTGGGTGGCCCCACAGAAACTGTTTCCTGCCCACCTGAGGTCTGAGCATTTGATGAAGGCAACTGCGGAGGTAGCAACAGGCACTGTGCACCCACACTATTCAAACATGGCCCCCCCAAGTCACCAAACAACAGAGTCCTGCGAAGAGCGCGCCTGGCAGGGCCACGGCGCCTTCCGGCGGCCATCCGTCACGCCGAGCGGCACGCTTCCCTTTTCACAGGGAAGGAAACAGGCCCTCAGAGAGGTCGGAGGACTCGCTAAAGGTCACTCAGCTGGGAAGCTGCAGGGCTGGGCTTTCCAACAGCCACCTCCTGACTCTGCTCTGTCACTGCTGCCTCCACAACGCCACCCGGCCCCTCCACACCCCGATCCTCCCAGCTGCCTGCAGGCAGAAGGCCCCAGCATGAAGCGCGAGAGCCCTCCGGGCCCTGCCGGCACAGGCCGACGGAAACCAGTGAGGGCGAGAAAACGCTGTCTGAGCAAACGAGCTCCATCCCTGTGCCCGTGTCCAGACGGGCAAACCCACGCGACAGGCATGGGGCCTGGAGGCTGCCGGCCCCCCATCCCTGTGAGTGAAGTGAGACGGGGCCAGTCCCTCCACCGGCCTGCGCCTCGATTCATATTTATGGTCCCTTCTAAACCGGCAGCCGGGGTGGCGCGGCCGGGTGTTTACAGCCCGGGCGCAGTCAGAAGCCCTGAGCTATTCTCGGCTGCCACTTGCCTTGTGGAGCGAGGCTGGGCTGGCCGCCTGACCGCGCACACTGCAGTTCCCTGACCCGCAAGCCAGGAC